TAATAAATAATTTACATTTTTAATTAATTTAATATATTTATTAAATAATATGTAAAGAAAAAATTATTGAAAGTATAATACTGTAATAAGGGATGACAGTCAGCAATATGTTACATGTTGACAATAACACTGAAACCTCGTAATTGGTGTCATGTCATCTTAATTCAAATAAAAGGGTCACACAATACTATAATGGATAGATTATGAAACTTTTTAGTTTTGATTTACACTATTTTTTAATTAAGTATTTTCAGCATATTGAAACTTTTTATTGTATGGATTTTGAAAACACTTCACCAAACTTATTTTGATGCTATGATTTTGTAAATTATTGAATTGACAAATATTAGACACAAACCGTATCGTATCTCACCATGCCATATTTTACTATATAGTTTTTTTTACCATTTGAAACGTATGCAGTTTAAAAAAAATTAAACCACATCTAAGTTGCGTCTGCTGTTTACACTTTAATTCTAAACCACACCCCACACTGCAAACATATCAAGTTCTAAGCATCAAGATTAAGAAGCTAGAGACCGGCCCTATACCAGGGACACATCCAAAAATATTCAAACGGTGGCGCCTTTTGACTATAAGAAAAACTATAAGAAAAATTTTCAACATGTGACACAGTTTGACTATAAGAAACAAATATACGGAATTTTTTCAATCGATGGCACCATTTAACAAAGAAAATGACACTAACACGATTCGAACTTGGGTCAGGGTTGAGATAAAAGCTTTGCATACCAACTCTACATAATAAATTTTGTTATCATTTTAGTTTCAAAATACATATAGTGGCACACAACAGATTAATACGGTTGCACCTTTTTTGAACCTCAAATTTTTTGCCCTTTGACGGACGAATAATATGGTGACACGTACCACCGTAACCACCAAAGTAGATTCGTCCCTAGACTGATATCCGATCGAGTTAAAGTTACTAGACTGCGGGTTAGTGGACCAGCCCATGCACTTGGGGTGGGCTGCATGTACAACCATTGTAGGCAAAAATTGGTTTCACATTCAAGCGACTATGTTTTTGGGTTCTAGATGGTTTTTGGTCGGCTAACTGTTTGGGCAAGTTGGACAGCCCACTTCACAATATCTTTTCATTTTAGCCAAAATTCTCCAATGGTAAATGCCAGTAGAGGTGATCAAAAATCGTTTCCGGGTCGAATCGGATCCAAATGGGTCCCGATTCCAAGATAGTGATTCCGTAACCGGTCCTGGCGTAACCAGTTTCCGTCCCGGTCTCTACCCAAATATGAAGGCCCGGTTACGAAAATTAAGGGTGAGGTTCAAACGAGGAAAGGCTTACGGTGGATACCTAGGCACCCAGAGGATCAAGTTGGCCCTTGCGAACAGTTTGATGCACTATATCCCTTCAATCAAAATATGGTTGAAAGAAAAAAATCTCTAATTGATAGGGCTCATGCTCTTGGCTCGGGGGGATATAGCTCAGTTGTTAGAGCTCCGCTATTGCAATTGGGTCGTTGCGATTACGGGTTGGATGTCTAATTGTCCAGTCGTACTGGAAGGTGCGGCTGGATCACCTCCTTTTCAGGCAAAAATCTTTCCCGGATCAGGCCCAAACTGGTCCTATGTAAAGAAATTAAACTCCAAGTTTTTACGCAACTTTTTTTGAAGTTCTTTGTAAAAAAATACAAAAGCGATATTCTAATAAATTTGAAAATATGCAATTGAGTCCATTAAATAAACTTAAAAAATACATTTTTTAATCAGAATTGTGAATGTTTCTGAGTTACATCATATGACTTATGTCGGTCTACAACAATTTTATTTGATCGTTTGTGTTTTTAGGAGTAAAAAGCTAGAGAAATACGTAAAACTTCGTGTTTCGGGCACTCCATCTCTAGACAAATACACAAACTCTGCAGATAAAGCAGAGTAAATCGAAAATATATCAAGCCTAACCAAAGCCCAAAAAATTTCAAAGCAAATTCGTTTACATATCCACGGCCACACGTTTGTACAACATGGCAGGTAACCGGGGTGTGGGGATGGCTTGTAGCGGAGTTCGCATGTACGTCACCAGCCCCGGGTTTTCCGACATGTCGATTTCTTCCGGGCTCAAACCATCAGCCGGAGCCCAGGAAAAGTGGTGCACAAGGTGACCCAACATCGACGTCACCAAATTGATCCCTAATTGTGCACCCGGGCACACTCTCCTTCCGGCACCAAATGGCAGTAGTCGGTAATCATGTCCTTTCATGTCCACATCTTCTTCTAGAAACCGTTCGGGCCGAAACTCCAATGGATTTTTCCATGTTGCAGGGTCTCGAGCCACAGCCCAAACATTTACATGCACATTCGAGCCCTTAGGGATGTCGTAGCCACCAATCTTGACATTGGAATTGGCTTTGTGAGGGAGCATGAGTGGGGTCGGAGGGTGCAACCGCAATGCTTCTTTTGCTACGCATTGAAGGTATGGGAGGCTGGAGAAATCTGGTTCGGTGAGCACACGTTCGTATCCGATCACACGATCCAACTCCTCTTGAGCTTTTTGTTGCACCCTCGGGTTCTTGATAAGCTCGGCCATCGCCCACTCAACGGAGATGGCGGTTGTGTCCATTCCTGCTGTGATCATGTCCTGTTTGTGCATCAAAATAATTGTTAGAACCGAACATCAACTATACTTAGAACCTTCCTATTTTAATATAAGTTCGAACTAGGAGGTTAATTTGATGGGCTTCCAAAAGATAACTTTTCTAGACTTAGTTTCTGAAAAGAAAGATTAATGATAGATATATACCCAAAGAAGGCCGATAATGGTGTCTTCACTCAGATCATATTGTTGTTGAAGGGTGAGCAAGGCATCGACAAAATGCTGCTTGGTTCCACCGGTCTTTTGACGAGCAGCGGTGTGCTCATCCATGATGGCTCGTGTGAGCCGATCACGACGTGCTCCGTGCTTTGCAAAGGCTTCTTCTTCTAGCGGGAAGAACCATCGGATCCATGGGATATGCTCTGCCATGGCTAGAGATGCACCAAGCTTCAGGCCGTTAGCCACAATTGCCTTAAACTCTTTCCCTTGATCATCCAGTACACCCTCCGAGTTCACAAATCGTTTCCCGAAAGCGAGCCGAGTAATGTTGTTGAATGCCACTGCTCCCAGATAACCTTTAACCAGCAAACTCTTGCCATTCTTATCTGTATTACAGACATATATTCCAAATGACTAAGGGCATTAGAAATCCATCAAAAGCAGTTAGTTTGGTGGGTTTGAATCTGTATTTATCCTTTGGTTTCTTTAAAAAAATCAAGAAACTATGGGTTTCTTTAAGAAAAGTCGGATGTTTCATGAAAAACAAGTAATGGATGGGTCACCTACCCAACCCACCAGGCACCAACCCACCTTAGTACGAATCAAACTCGATCCGACCTCGACTCCATGGGCCCACCACCATCAACCACCGCACTCCAACCTATGGCCCACTCCATCCTTTGCTAACTACGTTTGATCCTCATTCCGTTCCATTGATTTTTCTGTATCTAAATTATGTGGTGAATAATGGTGGAGTAATTAAGAAGCAAGAGCTTACCAGGATGGATGCAATCGTTGAAGATGGACTCCACCATAGCCGATACTTCATCTTCTCTGATGGGTCGAAGGGCCTCAAGCCTCTTGGGAGAAAACAACTCAAGAGTACATACTTTGCGAACCTTCACATAGTGGGGGCCATAATCCGCCCAAATCAAATCCTGACCATCTCGGCTGAACTTCGCCGCCGACCTGCTCCGGTGCCGATCCGCCAATTGCTGGTCTTTTTCCTTGAGTACTTCTTTTGCCAACTCACTGTTAGAGACGACGACGTTTAGAATCGATCCGAACCAGACTGATATGATCGGGCCGTATTGCTGTGCCCACTCGGCATAGCAGCGGAATCGGATAGGTTTGACGTCGTAGAGGTTTCCGACGATCGGCCATGGGCGTGGTCCCGGTGGGAGCTTGAATCGGAGGCGCTGATAGAGTGCATAAGCTACCAGGATTAAAGTGAAGGAAAAGGGGAGGAGTAGGAGGGTCATGGTCGCAGACGATGGTGGATGTAGCCTGTAGGATAATGGAAATGTTATTTATAAGAAACAGGGGGAGTTGGTGAAGGAGAATTTCGGAATTTACCTTTAAGAACGGCTGGAGTTGGTGAAGGGTATTTTGGTAAAGGGACTTTATGGATGGTGGGGTGTTTAACTATTGGACCGTTTAAACGACTGGAATCAAGTTAAGCCGAATCATTTTTGGTGGTTTGGTCGGTTTGAAAAATAGCTAAATCGAATGGTTCGGTATGTGATCTAGAATATTTTTTTGGACGATTTGGACCAAAACGACCACCAAATACACACACACTATATATATATATATATGTGTGTGTGTATATAAAGGGGAGTTAGATTACAAACTTACTATTTTATACAAACTATAGAAACCACTATCAACTAATAGAATAATTCTATGTTTTTTTCTTTATTTTTAATGAATGAGGGTATGAATGTCATTTTACTTGGTAATGGTTAATCTTGGTAAAGTTTTAATGGTTTTTAAATATGAAAAATTAAATATAGTAACTGTTTTTAAGTAAGGTATAAATCAATTTATTTTAATATATAATTATTATCATTAATATTTTATATTCTTTTATTAATGTAAAAATACTACATTAATTATAAAATTTATTTGTAATAATTATAAGGGTACTCGCACAATACAGCGAGATACATTTCGATTTTAATTTTTTGTTTTTTTTTTGTCTCAATCAATGTTATAATACAGTTTTATGTGGTTTTGAGAAAGTGATAATGTTTTTATTTTGGAATAAAATATAAATGTGAAGATAAATCATAAAAAATTGAAAAAAAAAATGATATTAGTATCAAACTAACTATTTAAAATTTCTTTTTTTATGTATTTCTTTAATTCATTTTTTTATTTTAGAATTCAATTATTATTCTAATTATATTTAGATTTTTTATATTTAAAATTAGATGTTTATTCTCTATTTGATTATGTTTATCTACAGTTAGTTACACGAATTCAAACATAAAGTTTTAATAAGTTGTACATATGCACAATTTACTTGTAATCTTGAATTTTAAGTAATATGCATCAATAAACAGTATTTCATGCATAAAAAATGATTTTTAAAATTTTTTGTCAAATGCTTTATAATATAGTATAGATTTATTTCTTACGAAATCAAAAGTAGTTACTAATTTATTAATAATATAGTTTTGATATTTCCAGATTTTGAGTATATTGTTTTGTTTTCATTCGTAAAACAAATGTCATTAATGAAACCATGTTATACAGCTTTCAAAATGTTTAAAAAATGAAACTAATTTCGTTTTGGTTAGGAACCATGAAACTACTTTCATTAATTAAATAATAGTATTCAGATTTTAAAATGTTTTATTGACTGAGACATATTTAGTTTCATTAATAAAATCAATTTCATTTTTGCTATAAACCATGAAACTGATTTCATTTTGATTAGGAAACATGAAACAAATTTAAAAACGAATGAAATATTATTATTCAGTTCTTGAAGTGTTCCATTGACTGAACAATATTTAGTTTCATATGTAAAACCGAGTTCATCTTGGTTATAAACCATGAAATCGATTCCATTTTGGTTAGGAAATATTTCAACAATTTTCACTACTAAAACAATTTTTATTCAGTTTTTGGAATTGTGAAGTCCATAAAACCAATTTCAATGATAAAACGAATTTCATTAACGAAAACATGTTATTCAGATTTTTGTAAATTGTTCCATTGACTGAATTGAAAATCCCATTATGATCAAGTAACAAGTAAACTAAACAATCAAGAACAATAATTAATCTCAAATCATATGTATTGATTGTTTCACTCTCTAAAAATAAGTTTCTCTCTCTAGAAACTCTCTAAAAATATGAACTTTGAAATCTATAAAAATAAGCTCTCTCTTCTATTACAAACATGACAAGGTATTTATATAGATTGACTAATTCAAAGTCAAACTACAATTTGAACATTTAAGTTACATGAATTTTGACTATTTTTGACTTTGACTTGGAAGCTTTGACCTCTTCATTCTCCAGTCTCGTCTTCATACTTGGTGATGTGACACCCCAAACACCACATTTGTATATAACATATATTTTATTAAAACAAAATACAATTTACACCACAATGGTCCCACTAGTACATGGATTCTTATATATATATAATCTACATATGAAAAATTCCAAAAAAAAAATCTTGTACTATCACATGTATAACAACATGCATCTTCAAAATAAGCAATCTCATCCTGATCTTCAAAAGCAGATATCAAGTTATAAGGAAGAATAATCACATTTCTCCCTTCCCCTTAATATCCTTAGACCCCGCCATTCCTACATTGCATATTTTTGAAACACGAAATGAGGGTTAGACAAGAAGGGTTTAGTGATTAAATCCCTTCTTTGCATATGCAGGATGTTAAACACCAAAATTTGATAAAATAACTTTTTATAGAAATAATTGCATTACAAAAAAATAATGCAGTTCATAATATAATCAAAATAAGATCAATAGTTAACATCATCCCATGATCCAAATGTACCCTTTTCAAACCCATAGTTCAAATCAGAACTCTCAACTTATCGGGCCAGAGCCCCTCTGGCTCTACAGACCAGAGCCCCTCTTGTTCTACAGACTAGAGCCCCTCTTGTTCTACAGACCAGAGCCCCTCTCTAACTTACCAACCAGAGCTTCTGGTTCTACTAACCAGAGCCTCTGTATTTAAGTGAATCAATGACCAACCAGAGGTCCTGTTGGTCCCGTTAGGGTCTACAAGATGTGTATAATAGTTTGTAAAAGGGGGAGATGAATACAAACTGTAACGACCCCCAATTTCTAAGTATAGATAATCCACATACACATTGTAACAACCCACAATTTCCACATATAGATAATTCATATAATCATATTCATAAAGCAAAGTATAATATTGTTTACAAAACACGAGCCAACAAAAACTTTCTTTAACACATTTATGTGTATCTAAATATCATCGTTCAAACTTTCCCTTTTCCTTTATCTTGATGTGTATGATGACCTACAAAACAGGTTAATCCAACAACTGAGCATTAGACCTAAAAGGTCTAGTGAGTGTACATAACACATACAAATAACTTACATTCCAAACTAATAATTTAGGATCAAACCTGTACAGATATAAATATTTTATCTATAATTGTTATAGAATCTTTTTCTCTCACGGTTACACCGCCATTACATCTCTCTCACGGTTACACCGCTATTACATCTCTCTCGCGGTTACACCGTCATTTCATCTCTCTTGCGGTTACACCGCCATTTCATCTCTCTCGCGGTTACACCGCCATTATATCTTCAAACCAATCTTGGTAATAAAGTTCAAGCAAATTTTAGCCGGATTTGAAGTCCGGTCATCCTTGTCCGGATATGAAATCCGGACAATTACTTAGAGTAAAAAGAGGGTAAATCGGACATGGCCTGAGCGGTTTAGCTCCAAACCGGTTAACACTTGGGCGGTTTAGGGCTTACACAGGATGACACATGAGCAGTTTAGCTTTTAAACCGGATAACACTTAGGCGGTTTAGGTCATCCACAGGATAACACATGAGCGGTTTAGGGGAAATTCGGTCACCCCTTGACCAGTTTAATTAGAATCCGGACAACATATAAAATGTGATTCATAATAAACCAGTTCCAGATTTGTAATTGAATTATATACAAACAAGTTGATTAATATCCAAAACATAATACACTCACCTTTGAATGTTGGACGGATTAAGCCTGCGGTTTTTCCTTCTCAGTCTTCACTCTCAAATATGATTTCTAAAGAAAATTTCTCAAAAGTCCTTACTACTCTTATGCACTTGCTATTTATAGCAAGTGCATAACCGCCACTAAGTGAAACACTCCAACACAATTCCCATACTCACATACATAAATTAAGATGGCATGTATTATATATATATATATATATATTCCAAAAATCTTAATTCAAAACTTGAAACCCGAATATTAGAACATTCCCTCCTTAAAAGAATTATGTCCCGGAATTCCGTTTAAGCAAAAAGGTAGGAATACTTTATTTGCATTTCAGACTCCGATTCCCAAGTGGCGTCTGATCCCTTATGATAACGCCACTGAACCTTTACTAACCCAACCTCTTTATTTCACAATTTCTTTACTTTGAAGTCAGTAATTTGTTCAGGGGTTTCTTCAAAGCACAATCTTTCATCCACCTTAATATCAGGTAACGGTATTGCCACATCCGGGCTTATTAAACACTTCCTTAAATTTGACACATGAAACGTGTCATGGATTTCGCTTAATTCTAAAGAAAGTTCTAGCTTGTAGGCCACTTCCCCAACCCTTCCAGTAATAGGGAATGGTCCAACATACCTTGGACTTAACTTCCCTCTTTTTCCAAAACGTACCATTCCTTTCCAAGGTGATACCTTTAACATTACTATATCACCTATTTCAAACTCAATCGGCTTCCGACGTTTATCTGCGTAACTTCTTTGTCTGTCTTGCGCCACTTTCATTCGTTTCTGTATTAAGCCAATTTTATCGGCAGTCTGCTGAACTAACTCAGGCCCAACTAACTGTTTTTCACCTATTTCGTTCCAACACAAGGGAGTTCGACATTTTCGTCCATACAAAACCTCAAAAGGTGCTGCCTGAATACTTGAATGGTAGCTATTGTTGTACGCAAATTSCACCAGAGCCAAATGACTATCCCATGATCCTCCGAAATCAATTACGCACGCTCTAAGCATATCTTCTAACGTTTGGATAGTTCGTTCACTTTGTCCATCAGTCTGAGGGTGATAAGTTGTACTTAGCTTAATTTGCGAACCCATCTCTCTTTGGAAGCTCTTCCAAAACATAGAAGTGAACCGACTATTTCTATCAGAAACAATTGATAAAGAAACACCATGACGTGTCACTACCTCATCAAGGTATAGTTTTGCCAATCTCTCCATCGAATATGATTCTTTCATAGGTAA